ACACCAAAAAACCTATACAATTGTCCCAAAGAGGCAAGCGCAAGGCCTCAGATGTTGCAGCACCCAGGAAGAAGCAGAATCGTGGTAGTGCAGCTGCCCGTAGTCGTGCTGCTGCCGTGCCTTGCTCCCCATCCCCTCCGGCAAAATACAACAGCCGCGGCTGCCCAATCAGAGTGCCACAAAAGTTTGAGTGAGGAACTTGTTCATATAGGTCTATAGACTACTCCACCAGAAAATCTCATGATTATAACCATTGTGTGTGGCTCTACAGCCTCATTTTTGGTGGACCTATTTTGGTGGTTTGGCGCATTACGCAAATCCGCGCATTACGTGCACAGACACAGTAGCAAGCTCCTTAGGGTCCATTTTGAAAGCGAGGTGTTAATAGTATAGATGATCAAAAGCACAGTAACGTGTTGTGGCGGTGTGGCCAGAAACTATATGTGGCTGGAAACTATATGGCCGAGCTTATATTGTTTGGCAACAAGTTTACCCCTCAACTTACTGAATCCGGATGGTTGCACATGTGATCATTCATGAAACGGCTAGTAGATGAGAGATGCATGCTAGCACACGTGTCTCACGCGGCCCGTGCAACCGAGGCCCCGTAATTGAAGTAAGCGTCAAAAACATCAGCAATAGCCATAGGCATCGATTCTGCATGCTACATGCGCCGGAGTACAGTGATCTAGAGCGATGTTGCTTAATAGAGGTGGCCCGATTGTTTCTGTGACTTGGGTTTTGGTTTACCTCTCTACCATGGCCATGGAGAAGGAAGCGCGGGCTCGGTTCTAGAGCGATGATGTGACAGCGTGCCATGCTGTAAGCTCATGTAACTGTAACATCACCGCAAAACAGACCATGTCATTGTTCTCGCCTAGTCAGGGCAAAGTTGAGGTTTTGAATAAAGCCCAGCCGCTGAACGCCTCGCAGCCTTACGCAACCATGAATCTTTCCTCTAGCCATGGGGAATTCAATTACTTACGACATCGTTTCGAACGCCGGCACCATCATCGTCCTGAATAATTCTTGCATTTTGTTCGCAGAATGGGGTCAATTTGTGCCTTCGAGTATAGCAGAGATAGAGGAAGCTACAAGGGGACTATCGGTCTTGAAATCCTCATCTAAAAAGGATTAAAAGAAGCTGAAGAAAGGCAAAACTCTTAGTTTGCCAAGAAACAGCTCTAATGAGCCAGTGGTGGACGATGGAAGGCTTGCACCAGTGGAGACGTTACCAGCAGACAATGGCGGATCAAGCTCAACTACGATTTTTTCTAAAGAAAGCTCAAGGGAATGGAGCCGAGTATATTCGGAGCTGGGCCATCGGGTACTAAGCAGCCTATCGCCGTTCCAGAGATTGTGGAGCCAGGAGAAAGCAGAAACAGCGATAATCTCTCAAGTGCTGTCATGGTTGACGCCCACAAATCCGGAGCAGTACCCCAAACCACAATCGAGCCCAAAGAAGAGGAGGGAACACGTTTCCGAGTCTGCGCAGGCAACTTAATGTCCGCCTCCCCATGGTTTAACCGTGCTCTGAAAAAGAATGGATGGATGGAGTCCAGTTGGAACCCAGAGGCAGGTGGTTTCACATATCTGCTCAAGACTGGGAGGAAGAGGCGTTCGTCATTTTGATGGACGTGTTCCATCTTCGCAACCACAAAGTCCCTTGTGCAATAACACTGGAGATGCTGGCGAAGTTCGCGGTGTTAGCCGACTACTACGAATGCGGCGAATCTGTCGATCTGTTGGTCAATATATGGGTGGCAGATTTGAGGGTGAAGACACCCATTCCAACGACATACTTCCGGGACCTGGTATTGTGGATATGGATATCCTGGACCTTCAAGTTGTCAGATTTGTTCAAGCAAGTGACTGCTGTCGCTATCGGGCAGCCTGCTGAGCCTGTTCGAAACCTGGGGCTTCCAATTCCGGCTTGGATTACTGGTATGTGTATGTTGACATTGTGAGCTGATTACGCTTACATCGAGTAGACGAGATCGATCTCAGACGATACCGGGTCATGGAGTCTGTCGTGTCTGGGCTGGCTGAACAACTCGATGTCTATCGCAACGCCACATACACTTGTCCCATCGGCTCTAGCTATTCGTTTTGGTGCGGAAGTATGCTCTTGAGCGCACTGACGAAGGAAGTGGATTCGTGGGATCTCATCTCCCCACGGCTCAAGAGACCGTGTCTCGGGCAAACTTTCGATGCCCTCTGTGTTAAAGCACGTTCGATGGAGTCAGAGACGCGTGTTCATGGCGGCTATAGCCCTCATAGCTGTAATGTGAGCACAGCTGTCAACTCCATTGTAGATCTAGCTGTCGCCAGTGTAGCAGGGTTAGGTTTGAGAGAGAAGCCTGCCTGGGCAGGAGGCGCGAACTGAACGTCAAAACAAGGGACATGCTGGAGGTTAGGCCTCCCGATGTCCACAGATAAAATGAATTTCACCTCATCAGTTCGAATTCCCCTTTGGGTGTTATTGGCTCTCATACAGTCGCTTCTCTAATATGGTTGTAGTGACTTTGATCAAATCATAGTCTCCATTACGCTAACGTTGAGATGCAACTATCGTTTCTCCTTACTAATGGACAGGCAGGTCCCACAACGACAGTGCTCTGTAATTGATACTCTCCTCCTCTCGTAAAGCACATCTCTGCGTGGAGAAACGCACTCTGTCGCAAGACCATTTCGCACCAACTTCCAGAAAGTCCCTATTGCAAGTCTGCTTGGCTTTTGAAGAGCGCTTGATGTAGCGCGATAACACCCACTGAAATCCTGTGTCCAGTCGTGCATGTAATGGACACAGCCCGCTTATCTCGTTTATCTGTGCTTGGCTTGGACACTTCAGTAACGGTAGCCACGGGAAGAGTCACCATAAGGTCGGACAAAGGTCTATTGCTGTTATGAGACACAATTGGTGCAAGAGGTAGAAGAAGGTAGTTCCAGGGTGATTAGACGCAGCTAAGACGCGATGCTCGCAACAGGCACGTTAGCTTATACTTTTCTATTGTGCGTTCGTTTGGGTGTCATTGGGGCATTCTCTAAGATCAGAAATCAGATTCTCAATTTCCTTCCTCTGCTAACGCTAAGGCGGGGAGGACCAGAGGCTGTAGCAGCGCAAAGTGTATACTTGTCGAGCCAGGGGAAGTAGGTAACGCAATGCAAGTTAGTGACACAGTTAGTGACACAGTTGTCCACCATATGGACATGGTGCATCTATAGACAAAGAGTGCGATGACGGACAATTGCAAGCCAGCCGACTGCTTCTGACTCAGCTGAAACCCAGCTAGTTAAAGAGGAGTGTATGTCTGGCTTTACACACCATAAACAGAAGACGAGTGCCAAAAGTATTTTAGCCATCAGCGATGAGGTCTTCAGTTTACTCGGGACCGAGAATCCTGAAGGGCTTTAGAAGTCAGGTAGTCCTTGATCCTTTGATGGATCAGCGAGAAAACACTTTGGTACTCACCCTCACTAGAGAGTAATGCTTCATGTTGAATATACAGGAACGGCTGCAGCGAGCCAAACATACGAAGAAAAATATGTTTAGAAAACTACGCTAGTGGCTGGTACAATAGTATAAGAGTACGTAGGTGAAAAGCTTGATTAACTGCACTTTCACGGTTAAGTGGCTGTTTTGAAATTTGATCCGAACGAGCAAAATTCACATCAGGCGAACGGATGGTAGCGCTGGACGCCGCTATACAGCGAAAATCATTGATCCACACGCTCGGCGATAGAGCGTTAGTAGAAAATGAAGTGCCCATAGATGCCGAAACTGTGCGTGTTCACAACAAATCCACAGATTTGGTCCCTCGAAAGTGAACGCTCAGTCTTCCCAATCGACCTGTCGTGCTCTTGCTGGATTGCCAAAGGCAACGCGTTTTGCTGGGATATCCTGTGTACAGTTAGTCCTTTCTTTTTGTCTTGTTCGCTTTCACAATGGCTGATGCCCTTTTATCGCTACGTTTTCTATTGCTCAACCTAGCTCCTGACTAAGCACTACGAGTCAGTAGTGGAGCCTAGCGCAGAAGCCTATCATGTCGGGTAAGGTGTTCGTCGCAGGGCTATGAGATGGATTAGCCATTCTCGCGACGTCTCGGCTGCTCTCCCAAATTTGTATGGAGACTTTTGATATCCTTTCCGGCATTCGTTGTGGGACACCACCTGCATATAACACATTGTCGTCGTTGGTAGGTTCACGGCTTTGCAGCGACAGGATGATCATGCTGGGCTTGTGTTTTCCGGCACTTGACATGACTACCTCGCAACTGTCCCTCCAAACTCGGCTGCACGTGTTGCAATGTCCAGCTCCCCTGCCTTGCGACTAAGCACACTCTGTGACAAACAGAAAACTAAGCTCTGTCGCCGGCCGTTATGATGTACGGGGTTTTAAGATAAGTTATGACTGGTAGCTGTTATGATGGTAGTGATGGGGATGCTGACCGTGAGCACCTGCTCGATGCAAAGATCAGCCAAGGCTTTGAGCCTTGTGCTGTGCTGACAACGGTACTGACCGTCAGCAAGCCCACAATACGAAGCTGCGCCCTGATGATGCTGATCAGCAGCACTTTCTCGTTGTTGAGCTACGCAAGTTTAGAGACTTGTTCTGACTGCCACACGGTGTCCTTACCCGATCTGTTTTAAGTCTGTCATTGCTTCCATGGCCGCTTGGTCCGTGTGCTTTTGCTGTTAGGAGTGGACGTGGGCATCGCAATTTGGTTTCCCATCCCGGCTGAGGCCGTATTGGCGGCGGTACCGTACAGGCATCAAATCGGTGAGGTGGCGAGCGGGAGCCGTCCGTGCGAGGCCAAGTTACTCGGGCAATGGCTGTGGGCTGCCAACCAAACAAACCACCAAACCATACAACACTCGCCAGCAACGCAACCATGTCTTGACACTCACAACATGTCGAGCATCGAGATTGTGAAAACCTGGCTCAAATCCACGCACGAGGCTCGCTACCCCCTAACTCCTCCGCCGGAATACGTTATCGCGCCGCACCCTCACATGCGCAAGCGCAAGCGCGCCATGTCCCTGCCTGCAAATGCATCCGGCACCACATCTCACCGAGGCGAGAGCCCCAAGCGGCGCAGATTCAACGATACCGAAGATGTTGAGCCTGCACAAAGCGAGTCGCAATTTGGAAGCGAGAGTGTGCTGCCGCTCAAGGACAGCAACACATTTCCACCACCGGCCAGTCGCGCTTCCTCCAACCCCTCGCGTGCCCGAAGTCCGACACGCGAAACACCCATCATCCTAAAGAGCGCATCGCCGCCAGTGCTCACGGAGAGCCTCAACGGCCTGCGAGAACCCCCGCCTCAACACGTCGAACACCTTGGCGACTATCTTGCTGCGGGCGTCGATTTGCACTTCATTCCCCAGGGCCTTGAGGTACGGTGCACATGATCGGCGCCCTGCTTTCCGGGCTTTGTTGACGGCCGTATAGCATATAATCAAGAATGACTCCGATGTGGGCCACCAGATCATCAAACCTGCAGACTTCAATTCTGTCGATCCGCGCTCTGTCGAAGAGCTATCTGCAATATGGAGGAAAGTGAAGACAATTTTCCTCAATGCACGCGACTGCAAAGATGGTGGTCGAGATGAGAATGCCTGGTGCGATGATGTATTCCGGCCATTGCTCAAACTGGCCATACAGCTGTATGGCAAGGATCGATGGTGGCTTCAAAGCGTGTGAGTAGACAGCTGCCACTCTCCCTCAACCAAGAACAAGACCACTGAGACGTCACAGGCAATCGCAGTCGATCGACCCCCGCTACCTGTCGACGGTCACCGCTCGTAGCCTCACCGATCCCGCCCGGCGCAAAGCTATCGACCGCAAGACCGATTACGTCCTCTCATACTCGCATCGTCACCCAGCTACCTCAGCACTCTATAAGGAACTCGAAGAGACAAACATGGGAGACATTGGGCATACTATGGACACATTCACCAAGCGAACCGCCCTTTTCTCTGGCTTCGAAATCAAGCCTGCGTCCGGCGACCAGACCGAGGCCGAATTGCAGATAAGCATATGGTCGGCTGCATCTATCCGCAAGAAGCAGGAACTTGCAAGCTTAGCCCAGCTTCTCATCGAGCCTGCAGCAATGGTCGAACCTATGTTCACTATTGTTGGACACGAACACCATGTCTACTATTGTTATCCCCGCAATAATCTTGTTTCAGGGAGAAGTGGTGTGCACGTGCTTGGACCAGATCTCGATCGATTCGAACGACTTAGTACGGATTCTGTGCGCGGAATCTTCCGATTGCTCAGACTATATGGAAATGTTTTGGTGTACGGAATAGGCGAGGAAGAGAATAGGTATTGGGGTGGGGTTCTTGGGAAGACATTGACCCGGCTAGCCGGAATGTCTGAAGAGAAGGCGGGTCATCCTGATTGAAATGATTGCTCATCAAAAGCTGGGCAAGCTTGTCTTGCTTCCACGACAGCAGAAAGCGACCAGTATTCAGCTCAACAGACCACAACACAACGTTGCTAGCTACACCATGATGAAGCACCCTGGCCAGCGTTGATGCCCGCAGAGCTAGAGGTCTATTCTGCACTGTCTGCAGCGGGGACCTGCGGACTATTGTTGAGGGTAGCCCTCTGTCTGATTATCTTAATGTACACAGAGGTTTAGACATGAAACACAGCAGCAACTATTATGCAAATCTAGTGGTTGTCTGCATTGTGCGTATTATATCGTTCTTGAGAACTCTGAGCACTCTACAGCTGTTGAATTGCGCTTGACATCTTCACTCCTCGAGCCTGCTTGACAGGTTGGAAGATAGCCTTGGTCCTGGAATCTGAGGAGCGACTGCAAACCCCAAGCGACTGCTAATAGCCGCCGGAACCTCCAAGACCATGTATTCCAAGGAACTCTTCTTTAAGGTCCCTGTAAACAGAGAAACGTAAGCTGGCTACCGGTATTGGGCTTTGTGGATCAGCTGGTCTCCTGTTAACTGAAAACACACCTCCATCACTGGGTCTACAAGAAGGCGTACACGTCTCTTTAGCCAAGAAAGCCGACAAGGCAATCGGCTGCTGGCAATGTAACAGCAAGTTCCGGTACTAGTGCTACACATTCTGAAGTAGGCAGGCTGGTACAGGTAACGAAGCCTCTAGTTCCTCTTCCTGCAAACACGAGATTCTGATAGTTGTTGCAGCCATTAGTTGAATCATCGCTGGCTGAAACCTCTCCCAAAAGGCCATCGGTGCTACCAAGTCTTCACCTTCATCATGTACAGGATGGCATGCCCAGTTCTACCGCCTCGCCCGGATAGTCTACCCCTGACCACCCGAGCCTTGCTTAGGTGACTGTCAACCCCTACGGCTTTCTGTACCTCTGTTCATCCCCGAGAACCAATCGACTAGTGTCTACAAGCTTTGCTTAAGGCACGAATTGTAACATTTCGAACAGCCCCAAGATGAGTAGAACGTCAGGAAGCTGTGCTACCCCTAGTAGCTCTCGTTTCAACAACTTGGACGACGCGAATGTCAACGCTGTTACTGCCAATACGATGAACGTCAGGAAGCCTGATCTCTACCACGGAGACCGCAATAAGCTCAACGACTGGCTTATTCAATGGGACCTCTTCTTCCTGTTCCAAGGCGAGAGGATACCAGAGAATCGACGTGTCACGCTCGTCGCGAGTTATATGAGAGGCTCAGTCTTCAAGTGGATCAAGCTGTACCTCCAACAGTACAGTCAGGAGCACATGCCCAACGACGTCGATGCCTGGATGGCCAACTTTGACCAGTTCAAGGATAAGATCAGGCCTATCTTTGGAGTATCAAACAGGCCTACAATTGCGCGACGCAATATACAGTGCATCCGTCAAGACAAATTGGCTGCCAATTACACTGCAGACTTTCAGCAGCTTGCTGCTAGCACTGGCTGGGACGATACTGTGTTAATGACAATGTTCCGTCAGGGGCTCAAGCCTAAGGTCAAGGAAGAGCTGATGCGTACCGGTGCTTGCACTGAAAATCTTAACAAACTTGTAAATACATCTATTGATATTGACGTCAAGCTGTACCAATTGCAGCAGGAGCTACGCAATGACCCACGTCACCGTGCTGTCAGTGTCGACAAGCGTTCCCCACAACGCACGTGGATTGACAACCAAGGAAACCGCTACCAACCAAACACTGGTCGGCAAGTTCACAACAACACTCAAAGCAGATACTATGGACCAGAAGCTATGGACCTATCCAACATCAACAAAGGACCAGAGCGTTGGAATCAGAAGAATAGGGGCAGCAAGCACAACAAGTCCAAGACCACCTGCTACAGCTGTGGAAAACAAGGACACTATGCCAGGGGTTGTTGTACAAACAAGGTTGTTTGACAGTTGAACGTACCCACCAGTGGACAGGGTACCACTGACGACAGCGGCGAATGGAATATCCTCACTGACGATATGAGGCACTCCTATACCAGACCTGATAACGATTATATCGAGGCGTCCGATTAGGACACATCCCAAGGGACTGTAGTCCACAAGGCATACGACGGAGTTGCCAGCACACCAGAAGCGTACAAGCGCAGCAGAACGAGACAGTGCAGTAGAAACCCACGACGCCACACCTACCAGGATAACAGGCGTAACCAAGAACTACGCAAACGGTCCAACGATGTCGCCAAGATCAACAGACACACTGCCACGTTGCAACAGCCAGCTCGAGAAAGTCGATGGAGACCAGAAGAATCTCCGAGAACTGGATTTCAACAGAGAGTCGATTACGACTACCAGCCCTTGACCGCAGTACAACCTGGACTACCAACTCTCCGCAAACAGACTTGGTAATGAGGAGACTTTTTTAGGCCAGCGCCTACAAGCTCCAACAGTCGATCCCTGTACGCTATTGGGATTGACTCACTCATCAAACTCCCCATCCTACTAGAAGGAGTTGAGATGACGGCATTGATAGACTCAGGGGCACAGTCAAACTATGTATCTTCAAGAGCCGTGTGGCAAGCCGGACTTAGACCACAGCGGAAGGCAAACCTGTACTCCCTTAGAGTCGCCAACAGAGAGCCAATGCTGAAGAGCCAGAGATTACCCCTGAGGTATCGGCAGTCACTCTACAAATACATGTACACCAGGAAGGAATTACCTTAGATGTTTTTGGGATGGCCACTCATGATGTTATATTAGGACTTTTATGGTTACAAAAGCACAATCTGCGGATTGATTGGAAGAAATGACAGCTTTTGTTAGAAGGATGTAGTTGCAGCACTACTACATTCAAGCCTACGCAGCTCACGACACAGCTGGTAGATGAGAAGGAGATCAATAATATCTCTTTGAACAAGATGTGCCAACAGAAGAGCAGTCAGCCCCGCGGATACTGGATGCCCATGGATCCCGAGGCGAGGGTTGAGGAGACAGAGAGTGCACCTCCTGACATCCTGGAAGAATACAGAAGCTATAGAGAGGTTTTCCGCAATGAGAAGACTGCAAAGGCATTACCGCAGCACAAGCCCTGGGACTGTGAGATAAAGCTCCAGGAAGGAAAGGAACCGCCTTTTGGGCCACTATACGGACTCTTGGAAAGGGAACTGGACGTACTGTGCAAGTACCTATAGGAGAACCTTGAGAAAGGGTTCATACAAGAATCAGAATCCCCAGTGGGATTTCCCATCCTCTTTGTGTTTAAGAAGGATGGCACGCTACGACTGTGTATTGATTATCAGAAGCTCAACAACATCACAATCAAGAATCGATACCCGTTGCCAAACATACCCAAGCTACAGGATAGGTTAGCCAGAGCACAATACTTCACTGCCTTAGACCTCAGAGGAGCGTACAATATCATATGCATGAAGGAAGGCGAGGAATGGAAGACAGCGTTCAGAACACGCTATGGACACTACGAGTACCTGGTGATGCCGTTCGGACTCACCAACGCGCCAGCTACGTGTCAGGCACTGGTCAACAACGTACTGGGAGCACACCTTGACAGAATGGTAGTGGCTTACCTTGACAATATCCTAGTGTACTCAAAAACGCTGGAGGAGCACGTCTCCCACGTACAGGAAGTGCTAGAGTGCCTAAGAAAGGCAGACCTACGGCTCAAGCCAGAGAAGTGCAAATGGCACAAAGAAGAGGTCAAATTTCTTGGAAATATCATAGGCTGACATGGAGTCAAGATGAGTAACAAGAAGATACAGGTTGTCAAGGACTGGCCAATGCCTACAACAGTCAAGAGTGTACAGGAGTTCCTTGGTTTTGTCAATTTTAACCAACGCTTCATCAAGGACTACTCTACAAAGGCCTTACCGCGAGCCTGCGCTACACAAGAACGAGACGGCAAGTGGCATCTGATCGTGTATTATTCACAGAAGTTCTCAGGACCTGAAGAACATTACAATGTACACAATAAGGAGCTTTTAGCCATTGTATCAGCCCTACAGCACTGGCAAATCTATGCAGAGAGCTGTTCGAACCTCACTATCTATACAGACCACAAGAACCTAGTACACTTCACGACAACCAAGTGTTACAAACACGTACAAAAGAGAAGGAACTATCATGTCATCCTGACATGGCTTGCAGCCAATAACAATCCACCCAGCTACTCCTCATGGAACCTCATGGAACCTCATGGAACCTCATGGAACCCCATGGAACAACACAGAATCTTCCAGTTGCTGACAAATGCTGACAAATGATTACAAATGATTACAAATGCCAATGTATCTAGAACATTCCAGGAGCCAGCAGTCTGTCTATAAAGGCAGCCTGCCCTCCTGCTCAGATAATTCATGCTTGCAACTCAATTCAAATCGACTTTCAATTCATTCCTCAACTCACTCCTTACTGATCCTATGTGGTATCCCCACACTTGATCCCTTCTTTATCACTTATCCTTTTTACCACTTGTGGTATCCCCACACTTGGTCTCTTCTACACCCTTATCTCCAACAAGCCTGAACTATCCTTCCACCAATTCTTCCATCTCAGAGAGCAGTTGGTATCCCCAGCTGGCCCCCTCTCACATATTGGGCCTGGGGACAGTGGTTATTGAACGTAGGAAGAGCGGCCATTGGAGAAGTCACGCCCATTGTACAAGCTACCCCATGGCCACGTGAGTACACTAGGATGATACAAATAGTCTAGCGTCCTATGGGATGGAAGCAAGCAAGCCATGGGATTCCCACGCAGTCTCACATATCCTATGGGACTTTGGGACAATGTCTCATAAGACAGTAAGATACTGTAGGACTCCATACAATCATTCAAGTATATAGCATGTAGGAACACAACCCTTATGGTTTGTGTTCAACCTTGTCAATTAAGTTTGTCATTGGATCTCAATCAACCTTCAAGCTAGACAGATTGCCTGTACTACTCATCATTACCCCAAGCCGTTGTTAGGTATTTCACCCAGGCAACTTACCCCTACTGTTCCAGAACCAGAGCTCATCCTCAAGAACCAATCAAATAGTACTTACGAGCTTTGCTTAAAGTACAACTTCAACACATGGACGCAAAATTCGCAATCATTTTGCATGTAAGATGCAGGTGTTGAACCATAAGTTGATCTATGTAAGTTACAAGCTCTAACTCTTCTTCAGGGGTGAGTAACTATTGGTTGATGGCCTTGTCTTCTATGGACCCTATAACACCACAATGTTTGCGCAACAACATTGATCGCTCAACACCATGATTATCAGCAATATCTTGGTAGCAAAGTTCTCTGGCTGCATCAGCTGTGTCTGCATCTTCAAGCGCATCCTCCATCGACATTGTGGCGTTGAGTTATGGTGTTAAGGAAATATTTGTGTTTTGGCGATCGCGTGCAGAACGCGATCGCGTGCAGCACGGGGACGAGCACGGTAGAATAGTGTCACGGGTATATACTGTTCGGTTCCCAGTACCCATATCTACTGGGTTACTGTACCTTTTTGTTTGGTGTAGCTCAGGTGGGACCGAGCCGAGCCCTCACAAATAGCCAATAAGATACCGGCGCTTGGTTCTGTACCAATTCTGGGTGGGTGCATACATTCCGTCGATTGTTATACCGGCGTTCCCAGATATCGTATGCTATTCTCTCGATCTTTGACCAGACTGCCCTCGGCTGACAGTGCCTTGCAGATTCTGAGATTTGGCGAAATAACGCATATGATCAGTCGTATCCTGATCTTGAACGATATACCGCATAGACCACGGTCAAACACCATACTGAAGAACGAAATGTCCTTTTTGCAGGCTCTTTGGCGCTGGCGACAGTGGTTTGCTTGGACGCAACCCTGTGCCTTCTCAGCTTCAGCCACGGGCTGAAACCATTGCTCATGGACTCTGGCTGGAAGCAAGGAAGATACGAGTTCGAGCCAATCCATGCGCAGAGTCGCTTGTCGGCGAGACTGAGACTCGAACTCGATTGATAACTAAGTAGCCATCAATACTCACAGTAATGTCAATTCTAATACTCATATATCAGTGTCTAAAAGATCACATTCTACTCAGGCAGGCGAGAACAGACTCAAAAACATATAGCTATTTAATCCGTTGGTAAGGCCCTTTTCTCAGCTGAGGTACATGAAGAACATCTTAGAGAGACGCCGAGCTGGATGATATTCCCACCTTTGCCAGTTAACACAGACAGGTCCCTCTGGTTACACTGACCTCGCACCAGCACCCCGTAATGTCTCTTCTCTTCTAATATACGCCATGGGGTGAGGTCGCTCGCCTTCGGAAATGCCTCTCAACACGCGGAAAAGTGCCCGGTGGGTGCAATGCTCTAGATTGTCACTTGGCAGGCCAGTTCGCGCAAGACTTCGAACGATTTTGTTCCACAGTTGCGATCTTTCCAAAGTCTCCATCTCAGCCACGATAGTGTCGATCCGTCCCCCAAGTTCGTCCTGTCTCTGGAGGTACGTGTTGTTTACAACGGCCATGATATAGCCATCAGTCTCAAACAAGCCGTTGTGATGTACCTCATCGCAAAGCATATCGAATTGTCCTCGACCAAGTGCTTCTAACAAGTCTTCGACCCAACGAAGGAATCTTCTAAAAGCGGGTTTTCGCATGGCGATTGGATGTCGGGCGATTTGGAACAGCACCACGAAAGCGTGGTAAAGGAGAATGAATGTATCCTTGTGGGGCTCGAAGATCGAGCGCAACGACCCACCACGGGCAAGGACAGTGTCGCGAATAGCCGTGCAAAGACGGATCCAAGGGTGACCCCAGAGACGTCGGCGACGAGATTTACGGACCCATTCGATCACCCTGTCAACGCCTTCTTCTGCGTACGCTCTCATGGCAACGGCCTCCCAAGGCACCAAGACCTCGTTCGGCTGCAGTTGTGCAACAGCTTCTTCGCGGCTCTGGAACTGAGCATCGCCGGTCAATTGTCGAATCTGTTCAGCTTTGAGAGAATCGGCAATGAAGAGTTCGCGTCGACAGTTCGGGCAAGTGTTGCGCTCGGGGCGGGCAGAGTGGTGCCATCGGGCAATGCAGCAGTAATGGAAAAAGTGGCGGCATGGCTGTAAGCTCACAATGGCTTTGCCCCTGCATCTTGGATGCATGCAACAGTTTGAAGCGACATCTGCAAAGGACTCCAAACAGATGCCGCAGGCTGTACCTGGCGCAGGAGGCGCCACGGGTTCCGAGTTTAGAGGTATGAGGTCTTTGAGGTATTGTTGCTGTGACGGTGGGCGGAGGATGTTGCTTGAGTCGTTGCAGGTTGCTCCTTCCACTGACTGAGGAGAGGTCACGCCTGCTGTTGGCGCCGCACTCAGCATTGCTGCCATTTGTCGATTACCGGAGAAAGATTTAGGTTGAGGAGAGTTGCGGAGCCCTCTTTGCACGAGGTGGGGACTCGGCGCAAAATCTTTTCGCCACGATAGGCAGTGAAGGTGAAAGACAACATCAGTCTAGGCACTCAAATGGCATCCTACTCACGAATGTCTGCAATGATGACTCATTTTACTTGCTTGCTGCAAATCCAATATTACTCATGTATGCCTACCAAGGTGGGTGCTCACAGCAAAACTGAACGCATCTTGCGCAACTTTCTCGCACTCAAGCACGCCAGACCGATTCGTTGGCCACATCTGCTTCTCAGTCTCGTACCGATCCTTCGCCCCTATGGATTTGCGATGCAACTCGCTCAGCTGTGGAAACGGCGCGCCTGAACCTTGTATCCATTCACCCCGTCACGAATGGTGTTCATCAGTCTTATCAGCTCCGCCCACACGACCAGCTTATAAAATAGTATCGCAATCGGCGAAGTACATACACTTGCACGTTGGCAAGTTCCAATCCTTGGAAAGCTGGACTACGGGCAGCACTACGGCATTATGCTAGTCTGGCTTCGAAGCACGTTGGCCGCCACTCTCGGTACAACTCGTCCGCATGGGCGTCGACGTAATCCTTGAGCAGCCACAGCTGCGCAGCAGCGACCTCTTCCTCGGACCAGCAGACGACGTTCTCACGACCACTCAATTCGGCGACGTGCCTCGCAGCTGTCACCTTCTAGTTCAGGTAATGTAGGTGAGTGGGATAGTAAGAATGTAGAGCGAGTTGGAGTCGTGTTGAGCTCTGCTGTCATCCCAAGAGAAGGCAGCTCCGCCACGTGGGTGATGATGCCATCGCTTTGCGGTCGCGGCGTTTCGCTGAAGCTTACCTCGAGGTCGGCGATATCAAGCTCAGTCTTGACAGAACTAAAGTTGTAACGGGGAGAGCAGGCCGCATGAGGACCCAGGTACTTGATGGGACTACCTAGCCCGGATGAGCCTGGGCTATGCGAAAAGTCGTACCATACATCGGTGGGATACCTCGTCCCTCGAACTTCAGTAACAATATCAAGGATAGAAGGCTGGTTTCCTCGCGGTGCAGGATCGACGTAGACATTTTGCTGTACGGAAGTGGCCGAAGAGCCAAGCAGTGTACTTACGAGTGATTCAGTCTTGTGTCGCTCAAGGTACATAGACGGTTGACTCATGCGCCACACATTCTCGGGGATGTCCGCCTCGCCGTTCGGTCCATTGCTTAAGTGGGCCACATCTCCTGAGGGACGCGGATTTTCTTTAGAGTGGCGCCTACGAAAGCCAGGAGACGGTCGCGACGAACGCTGACTAGCGCTTGGAGAACTTTTCTCACGATTCCTCAGTGTTTCGACCACGGATGGCGAGTCGTACTCAAAATAGTCCCTTCTTGGTGTCGAGAGTTTGCTCACAGGCTCCGAGTCGGTGTAATGTATTAATACCCTGTGCAGTGACTCGGGATCTCTGATACCCGATGCTCGCCACTGTTCTCGAGTACACGTGGTCTTCGTGGCGTTGTTTTGGAAGAACTCTGCGCATAGCTCTTGGATCTCCGGGCTGTGTACCTTCCTGCAGTTGAGGTGCTCATGCCTATTGCATCGGCAAACCATGTCTTTTCCCTCGCTCAGGTAGTGAAAGCGTTCAGCACGCACACCACTTACAGCACAATCGATATTCTGTCGTTTGTAGTATCGATAGAAGTCTGGCTGGTTGAATGAATTGGTACTAAACTTGTCCATGTATCGTGTGATGGCAATCGCCAGGTTCTTGTCGTCGGCACTCACTAGATGTGCTCTTTCATGATCCTGCACTCTGAAGCATCGACATGCTTGGAACTGACTGTTGTCAGTATAGTGCAGACATGAGGCCCGGCTCGAGACTGGACCACCCTTATTTGCAAGATGTGTGACGCGAGCGGGATACCTGTCGCCCGTTCGTTTATTTCGTGCTACGATAACTTCAGCTCTCTTCCGACTCTGCGAAGCCATATCTTGTGAGGTTCAGTGTCAATTGAGTTCGTCTAGTCTCGTCAGCTGAATCTTGGGTAACCATCTTGATATGAGAACTTTTGCTGCCTGTTGATGAATGCGGCTTTATTCGTGTTTGAGCGAGCGGTAGGTTTCTGAACAGAGTCGATGATGCAGTGGATGAACAAAGCAAGATTAGACGATCAAGAGACATTGTGCAACTCACTACCTTCGGTACTACGCTGATCATGTCGAGGACGAAGAAGGACATTGTGAAATGCCCACTTTGGGGGTCTGGATTTGCACGTCATATCATGAAAGAATACAGTTCATTGACAGTAGAGCAACCGAATAGAGGCGTTGTAGACTTACGGAACAGATCTCGACCATTGATTGGCAACTAAATCCGCAACGAGTTCTGAACTGGTTAGGACGCTGGATGAGAATGCAGATTTGTTGATTCGAAAATTCATTATGCGCTCTTTTCGATTGCGGTCTTTGTGAAAATGGCACCCAGACCAAGGTCTCTCAAGTATCATGTGGTCTAATTTTCGTATGACAACAATACCGTTGTGGGCAAGTGCACAGTTGGCGGTGGTGGGTGAATTCTGCATGCAACTCTCGATGCACGGGAAACACGGATCTAAAGATGATCTGGCTGTTGGCGGCCTCTTGGTCAGCTGTGGAGAAAACGTTTCTCCTGCTCAAAGTCGGGATTGGACCGGCGTGTCACAGAGCGGTGAGATCGTACCTATGGAGGACGGTCATAGTGGAGATATTGCAAAGAATGACCAAGACGGTCTCGTGGGTGCCCAATCTGCTCTTGCTCGTAGCCTCGCTGTCTTGATTAGTACGCGCGATAACCAGCCGCCTGCCGGTTTGGCAAGATGGGAACGCCGAAGAGCACAGTGCGGCAATTCGGACAGCGGTTTTGCTGAGGCCCATTGGTAGTGCGGAACCATGGTTCGATGCAATGGTGGTGGAAGTAATGGCCGCATATCTTGGCTTTGGCGACCTCTTTGTCCACTGCGGTGCCTTTGATGTTCCTCGAATTAAGGTTCTTGAAGGCTTTATCCGATGGTACAAGTGGCTCTAAGCATATGCTGCATGCTTCAACTGAGATAATACCTCGACAGGTCGTCAAGACTGTGTCCACTGTTAGCTCTGCTGCAAGGGCCGTTCCCATGTTGACAAGATGGCAAGGTGGTTGTGTCGATCTGGTTAGATTGTCACAAAGAAGGAGGGGCGTTCAGGCTTAAGCGCTTATGCGCCGAAAGCAACCCTTTCACAATGTCGTTGTTCGTATCAAGTGCTCTTGAAATTGTATCGTAGCTTTGTCTCGAAACGCTCTGGGGTATTCGCTCATGACGCGTTTCACGCCCAAGCACAACATATATCGGAGCGAGCTTCTCAAGGCGCTTCACGGCCTGACAGCGACTGACAGCTCCGTGATATGAACGAACGGAAATACGGAAAGTGTATGATGTCAGAAGTATGTATATCGATAAGGGAGACAGGGAAATGACCATGATGTGTTGTTGTTGTTGATTCAACCCCGCCTGCCGAACATGTCATGCTTTGACCACCTTCAACGGCTCTCACCACTTTCTTGTGAGGACCTTCACAGTCTGATACCTCATCTATGGGCTCGTACGACTGAGCATACTGCAACATACCTGTACCAACGCGACCAATCACTATCACGTAGGCCACCGGCCACTTCATGTCACCTAATACCTCCACAACAACGAGAGATGACTTCACCGCCTTTGTCCTCAACTTCGACTGCGGACCGGACGCGCACTTGATGTCCAAGCATCTTTTCAATCACCATCAAACCTTGATCCGGCTCCTGGTCCGTCCCTCGGCTATGACACTGAACTTGGAACAGACATTTAACACACCAACAAATAACAAAAACAAGGTTTACTTCATGTCCGTAAGACTTGAGTCCCGTTGTACTCATCCCTGTAAATACATATTGACGACTTTGGCTGTACAGTTGGGACTTCTTGCTCCGCAGCTTCCAATTGCTGGTAGCGAGGGTAGACCCAGAGATTAACTCGCAGGGGAGTGTTTATCGATTTTGTCAGTCGCGCAGTGCTAGTGAAGAGCCTCATGTTGGATGCCACAGGCAAGTCGGAAAAAATGAACGCTAGTGTTGGTTATTACTGTACTAAGGCATTAATCTGTTCGCGGCGCACGGGCCGAACCCCAACCACCACAAATGCAATGACCAACATCACAACTTCAACCCGCTACTGCACAACCACAATGAGGGCTTTTGGAGCTGAAATTTCAGGAGATCGCGTCCCAGGTGGTGAATTGTCTGTTCGCCAAAGGGATAGTATTGTCTCCAAGGCAGAGGCAGGCTGTACTACCAAGGAACTAGCAGAAGAATTCAGCTGTTCACGTCGCACAATCCAGAAGACAATCCAGCGGTACAACATGACTGGCAACAACCAATCTAAGCCTCGGCCTGGTCAACCTCCACGTATATCCCGTCGAGAAAGACGTTATCTCCAT